AAAATATTTAATAAAAATATTAATAAAATATTTAAAATTCTTAACATTTTTTATTCATCATTATTGACATTGGTAGCGCTGAACTCCTTTACAAGTGTACAACCTATGAATTAAAAGAGTGTACAACCAAAGTTTGATATTTTTCTCTAACCAGTAAAAGACGATGAACTCTGTTTTTTGGGCAATGTACAAACAGTAATGATAAAGATTCTTACAAAATATAATTTCACAATTCTTAAAATAATTTGAACCATTTTCGTCATTGTAAGAGATAGAAAAAAAAATTTAAATACATTAATAATCAATACATCAATGAGAGTCGTGGAGATCCTCCTTCGTGAGAGTCTCAAACATTTTCCATGTACAAATTAACTTTAAATACACTGTAAAATGACAAAATCGAGTCTTGTAATAAAAAAAAGGGGGTACTTTTGTTATTTAATTTTTTATATACTTATGAGGGTTAGAAAAAGCTACAAAGCGCAAAAAGTAATTTACAAATTTGTCAAAAATAAAATATATAATGTAAATTTAAATTTAATTAAATATGAACCACATCTAAAATGAATAAATATTATTTTTTGGGGATAAATTTAGCATTTTTTGAAATAACAATATACAAGTTGTTCCAAGTTTTCCTTGTAGTTGATTTCTAAAGCTTATTTTAATTCAACTTGTTTTTTGTCTTCAGAAAAAAAAAAAAAAAAAAAAATTAATTTTTTTGGTTACTTTTTAGGTTCATACTCACCACACAATCTAAAAAAAAAAAAAAACTGAAACCGAAAATAAGTTATTAATTTTTATTTTGAAAAAATCGTATTTTCAAAAAAAATTGAAGTTTTCTAATATGAACAAATTTGAAAAGTAAAAATTTTGACAGTAAAAAACAAAAATAAAAGGATAATTTACATTTATTTCTCTTATATTGTGTTTGATTAAGAGATTTGAGAAGTGATTTAAAAAGAAAAAGATAAAAGATAGATGAAATATAAATAAAATATATCTTTCACCTAATTTTACATACTTTTTTCTTTTCCATTTTCAAATCTCTCAACTAAACCCAGCGTTAAAGTTTGATGAAAATAAAATTAGCCTACACCTCTAAAATAATTACACCGATATCTATTTTAATAAGATTAAACTAAGGCCTTACTTGGAAAGTGGCTTATAAATTGATTTTTTGACTTATTACGAAAGAACATGTTAAAAGTTGAAAGTGATATAATCCAAATAAGTCAGCCTCCGTTTGGCAACTTCAACTTGGGCTAAAATAGCCACTACAGTCCAAAATAGGCTAAATTAGCCATTACACGACAAAATGAGTTCACGGGCATGACTTACCTACAAGCCGAGTTGAAAGTACGAAACTACCCTTGGCACTGTGTTGACAAATCCACAGCCTGTAACCCCTCCCCCCACACACACTTCGCAGTAGTTAGGTCATCCACAGCCGCTCGTCGAAGGAGGCGACCTAAACAGCGTTGCTCGGGGAAGAACCACAGCCATACCTCTGACAGGCCAACACCACCGGAGTTCATATCAGCGGCGACCCTCATCCTCACTCTCTCAAACACGATTGATTTTCAGGTAATGGTTGGTTTTACCTTCTTTTTTTTTTTGGTTTTTTTGGGGGTTTGTTCGCATAATAGCTTATCCTTGAAGCCGATCTGGAAAGTTTATCTTTGAAACATTGTTGTTGCTGCTGCAAAATTTCCCTCTAATTCTTTGGGTTACATTTTGTTCATTTCGGTTTGCAAAAATGGGAAACCCAGTGTCATATCTCTCCCACTCACTGCAAAACCTCACTCCGATGGACACTCAGTCATGGAAACTGGTCGTCACGGCTGATTTGTGGTGGAAAACACATATTTCTTTGACAATTTTTTGAGGTGTTCTTCACAGATGACATATGTATTTATGAAAAAAAAAACGGTTCTGAAATCAGATTTTCTGCTTAGTTTCTACTAATTTTTCCTTAACTCTGGACTTTCTAATCAGATTTTTTTGAGATTCTGAAATCTAAATTTCTATCTTCATAAATCTGATTGTTCTGCCTAAGCTGAAATCTGAATGCTCATATCAGATTTTTGTGAAATATGAAATCTGAATTTCTGATTTCTGCTGAAATATGAAATCAAAATTTTTCTCTTCATTAATTTCCAAATGTGTCCATGTGTCTTCAACAATTCTGAATTTACACAAATTCTGAATTTTTCTCTTCATTAATTTGCAAATGTCTCCATGTGTCTCCATAACAAATATCAGTTTTGTATAAGTTGTTTATTTGATTTCTTTTAATTATCATTAAAAAATAACAAAATTCATATCAAAGTGTTCATTGATTTTTGAATGCTGAAAATGAAATCTGATTTTTCCAAAATATGAAATCTGAAATCTGAATTTCTGATTTGTTTTGATTTTTTCCTCAAATCTGGAATTTGTAATCGCATTTTGTTGGCTGAAATCTGAACTCTATGTGTTTATCATGTATTGATAATAATGTATTGAACTCAAATCTGGAATTATTGATAATAATGTCTTCATAAATATCTGAACTCTATGTGTTGATAATGTATTGATAATGTATTTATTTTGTCCCACTCATTTTTGTTGCTGGAATTTCTAAATATATGTATTCATAATAATCTGAAATCTGAATTTGCCCTATGTTTATCGTCATAAATCTCAGAATGTCTGTCTTAAACAAATCTGAATTTACAAACAAATTTGAGTTCATAAATTCTTAATTTGATTTCTTATAATTCTCATTACAGGAAAAAAAAAAAGTTCATATCAAAGTGTTTATTGATTTGTGAATGGTGAATGCAATCTGATTTTCCTGAATTATGAATTCTGAATTTCTGATGTTTTCTGATTTTTGTTTATGAAATTTCGAATTTGTAATCAATTTTTTTGCTGAAATCTAAAATCTAATTTTATGTATTCATATAATAATCTTAAATCTGAGTAAAACCCTATGCTTTTCTCGTCATAAATATGAGAATGTCTCCACATCATCATGTCCTCATCTTGCTTTGAACTGAACAATCATATAGCATTTCAACATAGGCTGCCATGTAATCAATTTCATTGTTATAACACAAGAATCATGTTGCTTAGGAGATGAGAAAGAGTGACATTATGTACATTTAAGGTAACATTGGGAGATGAGGGAGAACAAATTAAATTGGTTTGAGATAATAAAGAAAGGCATATTACCTTGTGGTTTAACTAAGATTATGGCTCGGTAAGGCTTTGATTGAGTAGGATGGTAAAACAAGCTTCATGTAACCGACCTACAATTGTTGGACACATACGCAACTATAGAATCAATTTTCCAGCCCTACAAACCTCTCATAAACCCAGATGTCCACACCACTTCCTTTGATTGAGAATGTCTCCATGGCTCTTAAAAAAATCTGTATTCATATGTGGCTTCATTCATATATATGAGATTTTTTTTTTTTGGTTATTCAACTTCACTTCTCATTACACTGGACATTTCAATCTGTTATTAGAAAATGTATGGAACTTCAACTACACTATTATTATATTGTGGCTTCATGAATGTAAACTTGCCATTGGAGCACTCGATTGCATATGGCATAAAGTAATTGTTTTTTGTTTTCATTGACATATTTATCAAAAATGTAAAACAAACATTTCAATGCTTGACCTTTGGCATAATTTTAATTGAAGGTGATAATGTGAGGAAGTAAAATATCCAGCTTATATCATGTGGGGATTTGACATTATTTTAGTTTAAAATTTTCATTTTACAAACATGTTGACAGTGAAACCATAACTGCTATGCTGTTTTTCTTTAACATAAAATGAATAAACTAATGAGTTTGTAAACCCATCCTATGAAACTTGTGCATCAGCGTAGTCAGTTCATATTGAACCTGAAATATGGATATCATAAACTAATTACTGCTATGATTCATTGTTACTTTTGAATGTTTGTCAAACATAGCATGGCTTCATTTACCTCTAGTGCAACTTCCAGTACATGGCCATGTCGAATGTGTGCCTGTGGACATGGCCCCTGTATTGTTAAGATTTCCAGGTCCACCAAAAATCCAGGGCGTCCCTACTTTGTCTGTCCTCGCCCTGTGGTGAGTGACCCAATCTTTACCGATCATAACTGTATGAACATGACCAACCGTTGAAACTAATAGTTCCATAATTTCCACTCATCAGCCCTGTGTCAGTTGGATTGGTTGGTGTGAAGAACCAAGGCGAGAGAACCAAGGCTATGCGTCTCCCGGAGATGAAATTGCCATGCACTTGAGGGCTGATGTCATAGACATTCAACAATCCTTGCGTGTCCTTAAGACCATTGTGTATGTGCTCTGCATTGTGGTTGTCATTTTGGTGTGCCGTATGTAAGCACCGGTACCATGTTTGGGGGTATGTACAAAGACGTTAGTATGTTGTCATTATGTTGTTATTATGTACGAAGACGTTAGTATGTTGTTAGTATGTTGTTAGTATGTAGTTAGTACGTTCGTAGTATGTTGGTAGTATGTTCTCGCATATGGGAGCCGTAATACTAACTATCAAATGTTTTGTGGCCACTACTAACTTCCATGGAACCTGTTTACGTTCGTTACTAATTTCCAATGGGTATATGCAAATTTAACTTTAGCATCATTCATGTGTGTTTGTTGTTAATAATGTGTCATTGGCTTATGCGTGTGTATGTACCAACCAAATTTGTGATGGTAATCTTTTGTAACCGTACATTAGTAATGGCTTCCACATGTACTTCGCCGCGTAACCACTCGAAAAGCAAAGGCATTGTCAGTGACAAGTCAAGCAGCCTTGAAGAGACACAAAATCAGTTAAGTCACAAGGCCTCATGGGACAGTAACTCAGTCCGAGTTTTCCTCCAGTTGATCGCAAATGAGATTAGTAAAGGAAATCGCCCATTCTTAGTCCTCAGCCAGGCAGGGTACAAGTCGTTGTCAAGGAAATTTGAGAGAAAAACTGGAAAAAAACATGGACTAAAACAGTTGAAGAATAAGTACATGAGCTTGAAAAAAGAGTGGCAGGCGTGGACAAAGTTGATGGATTCAAGTAAGGGAGTGTCCGGGATAGGCTTTGACTATGACACCGGTTTGTTTCAGGCACCTGACGAGTGGTGGGACAAGATGGAATCAGTAAGTACATGTACAAACAAGTTTCATATCTGGCATTTAGAAGTACATTTTTTAGTTCTTCATTTAAATGCACTGCAATTTATTTATATGAAATATAACGTCTGCCTCTTTTGTACATCTACATTTCTACAGATCAACAAGGTGTGTGCGAAGTTCAGGAAAAAAACTTTGGAACACCGTGACTTGATGGAGACGGTTTTCATGGGGGCATCAGCTACTGGGAAGCACCATTGGACCCCGGGAGAGATCGTCTCTGAAGCTGATGAGGCCTCATCTGATTCAGTGCGTAGTTTGGGAGCGCAGCCATTTGCTGATCCGATACCCGCAGGAGTACACGACGTGGATTCCGATTCTTCACTCGAGCATGTTCCGATTGAAAAGCCAAAAAAGAGAAAGACGCCGTCAACAAGTGTTTCAAAGTCGAAGAAGGCAACAAGTGGTGCGTCCGTTATTGCGGAAAGCATGGACAGAATGACAGATGTGGTTCGTTCGAAGAATCAGCAGGTCACGGTGAGGCACCTCACAGGCAACGAATCGCTGTACACTATTTCCGAGTGCAGGCATAAGCTGAGCAGTATTCCATCCATGATTGGTACGTCGTTATTCCACTTCGCCTCCACACTTATGGATAACGCTGATTACCGGGAGATCATGATGTGCCAGCCTGATGACGACACATCATTGGATGGCTTACACAGAAACAGCTCCAGTGTACTGCGTTGGCGCCTTTTGCAAACCTGTTTGGGGGTCGCCGGATGTGATGTAGCGGTGTTACGAGTGTTTAAGAAACATCTCCTTGTCTTCCTTTTTAAAATGTTGACTTATGGTATTGTTGGCAATGTACTAAAACAGGATGGTGCTGTGTGAATGTTTTCATTATGTCGTTTTTGTTTTTTTCTTGCTAGCTACGGGCAGCAACAGGTTCTAGGTAAGTGTATGGGTTGACGGACCGGAAGCATGGTTGTGCTTCGTTTTTGGGAAATGAATGGGATGTTTGTGTTTTAATATTTTGTGTGCCTACGTTTGAGACAGGGAATTACGTTTTACTTGCACACTTGTGAATGCCTATATGTCTGAAGTTCATTTGTTAGTGTTGTTTGCTGGCTACTTTTGTGGTTGTCACCACCATGACTGAAGTTCAAACTTTAGTGTAGTTTGCTAGCTACTATTGTGGTTGTCACCACCATGACCCCCCTGTAAAGCATAAGTTGAACATCTTCAATTTTTGTGCAATTCATATGAGCATGCGTTCCATATGACATTTGTGACGGCATTGCTTTGATTAAAAACATTCTCGGAATTTTTTAATTGCAAACTTGAAAATAATTTAAGTCAATGATTCACGTGCCAACTGAATGAAAGGCTGCCACTTTTGTAGGTTTCGCATGAATGAAGACGCGATGAATCCCTGGGATGGAAGCAACCATGATGAGATAACGGAAATGCTTAATCAAATGGCGGTCCAGGTGCAACAAGAACAGAATTGCACATTTGTACAAGCATGTCAGTGGGCGACAGAATGGTACGAGAAACACATGAATAAAACGCCGTGTCGCACTTCTATACTAACCGGGAATGCATGGATATGCGAACTATATGCGGGGCATATGGGTCGATTTGAGGAAAATGTTTGCATGCCGAAGGAAGTTTTTGCCGCATTGTGTGAGACATTAGTAAATGATTTTGGGTTACAAGTCCCGCAACGTCCACATGGCTTAGTTGTTGAAGAAAGCGTTGCGATGTTTATTCATGTGTTGAAAGGGAAGGAAAATCGGGAAATCCAAGAACGGTTCCAACATTCCGGGGAGACTGTGTCGAGGCACGTGCATAACGTATTAACTTCCATGAAAGAGTTCACAGTTGTTCATTGCCGGCCCACATATAGTCAGCATCGTATACATCCATACGTGCGGTCTAGACGGAAATACCTACCGTTCAAGGTACTTCTAGACGGAAATACCTGATTGACATATAAACCAAGAAAATATATTTTGTTTGTGTTATTAACTGCACTTGACGCTTGGCAAGAAGGAAACACTTGTTATTAACAATTTATCCATGTTTGCAGGACTGCATTGGCGCAATAGACGGAACACATGTCAGTGCATGGGTTACGGGGCCAGATGCGGCAACATATTTCGGTAGGAAATACTGTCACACACAAAATATAATGGCCGCTGTCGATTTTGACATGTGTTTCATATTCATTTCTTGCGGATGGGAAGGAAGTATGCATGATAGTCGCATATTCAACGAGATACTAACAAATGACAACGTCCCCTTCCCACATCCTGACGAAGGTAACACATGGCCATGTTATTAGATTTGTTAACAAATACTTATTTGCTGACAAAGCGTTATATGAAAATGACGCAGAATGTTGGTTTTGGTGTCATACATTGTCGTCATGTCTGCAGGCAAATATTATCTTGTCGATTCTGGCTATGCAAACCGGATTGGTTACTTAGCACCATTCAAAGGCCACCGTTACCACCAACAAGAATTCCGGCGTATTGCACGGAACGCGATGGCAAACACGCCAAGGGAATTATTTAACAAAGTGCACTCGTCCTTACGCAGTGTGGTGGAACGCACTTTCGGTAGCTGGAAAAATCGATGGGGGTTTATTCGAGACATGCCTCGGTATGACTTTGCAAATGTGCAAGTTCAGTTAGTAGGTGCGTCAATGGCATTACATAATTACATACAGCGAAACACAGGTAACCCAACAACTGTTCAGCCAATCTGTGACGAGGAAGAGGCTATGACAATAGTAACTGCCATACCAGAAGTTGAACATGACGAGGATGGTTTAATGGTTGGAGATGAGGACCCCCATATGGCATTGGTCCGCCTTCACATACGTGACAAATTATGTTACATGCGTAATAACGGAATGTTAGGAAATAAATAGTAGTCGAAATAATTTTCGTATGGTTGTCCCGTAATGACACACGTGGAACAGACTGTATTCAAATATATTATCATGTATAATATGTATGAGTTGCCACGTGAATGTAACCCCTTCCAGTTGCTGACGTGCCTAACTTTAAAAAACAACAATCCATACGAATTTTGCTTTCGGAAAAACAAAAAAAGGTGAAACAAATAAAAACAAATGAAAAAGAAAACAAATACACAAATTGTCATGTGCGACGTAAATTACAAATAAATGAAACACATAAATATATTAAAAAAAAGTTATTGTATACCAATTAAAAAAAACAAGACATATTTAAAAACTCGGCAGATCGACACCCAATATAAAAAAAAAAAATAAATAAATAAACACAAGAAAAAAAGCCAAATCGAAACCCCCAAAAATAAAAAAAAAATAGCAAAGTACGCAAAATCGAAAGATAACATAAAAAAATTTTTAAAAAAAAAAAAACCAAAATATGCCAAATCCAAAAATAAATAAATAAATAAATCTGTCATTTCTTCGACCCTGTTTTGCATCACGTTTCCCAAAAAAAAAAAAAAAAAAAAAAAAATTTTTTCCACCAAAAAACAAAAAAAATTAAAAAAAAAAAAAAAACCCCGAAAATCTGCCAAATCCAAACCCAAATAAAAAAATAAAAAAAAATAGAAAAGGGCAATTTCGTCATTTAACAAGATGACACCTCACCAAAAAGTCAAAAAGTCAAAAAGCTCTTCTCAAATCAGGCTTTTTAGCCCCAGGCTAAAATAGCCAAAAAAGTCAAAAAGTCAAAAAGCCAGCCCACTTCCCAAACGGAGGCTAAGTTGGTCAAGGAAGTTTTATATGATGATATATGCTTTTAGGAATGTGTGATACTTTTAATTTCATAATCGTATTCCGGGTTGAGTTTTTGTAATTGGCTAACAAAGTGGATTAATATTATTCTATTCATAAGAATTTTTATTACGCATTCATGTGAATAATATTACATGATATTTTGGGATCACCTACCTATAGTTTTACGACTATTCCTAGCATATTCCCTCAAAAATTAGGAATTCGTTTAGGATGTGAGTTGGTTTTTTAATTTTTTTGCTATTGTAGCCTGTGGCTAAAAAACTTCGTTTGGAATAAATTTTTTAGCTTTTTTGGCTTTTGTGAGAGAAAAAATAAAAATATTATGAGTTGGATGTGACATTTTGTTCCATTTAGCTAAAATAGTCTATTTTATTTTATGTGACTATTTTAGCCCCAAACTAATATCCTAAACAGTGCTTAAGAGCCCAAATAACCTTATTTGAGATTTAACTCTTTTTTTTTTTTTTGCCACATTTGTTTTTTTTTTTTTTTTTTTATGAGGTGAAAAAAATTATGAAAAATAAAATTTTTAATTACATAAAAAAATCGTGAATGACTAATGACTTACTTTTTTAATGACTTTTTAAGTTTTTAAATTTTAGAAAAATTACAATCAACTCTCTTGAGATTTAGAAAAAGTACAATTAATCCTATGCATTTGACATAATTATGCTGACATCCCTTAAGGTTTTAATTTACATAAAAGTTAATTTATTTTTCATCAATAATTCATTAGTAAGTACAATTAATCCTATACTTTTGACATAATTATGCTGACATCCCTTAAGGTTTTAATTTACATAAAAGTTAATTTATTTTTCATCAATAATTCATTAGTGTGTGAAAGAAAAAAAATATATTATCATCTTTTAACTAATAAGATGTATATTTATTTTTATTTATTTTAATAGTTACCTACTATTTGTATTATTTAAGTCAATTTAGCCAGACAAAAAGGTCAATAAAGTTATATCAAAAGTATAAAACTAATTATACATATATATATATATATATATATATTTTAAATCTCATAGGAGATGAATGTAATTTATCCTTAAATTTTTTAATGATTTTTTATTTATTTATTTGGAGTTTAAAAGCCAAAGTTGCCATTATCCAAACAGGCCTTGCCCACTAAATCGATCTTCACTCTGATGTACAGTACCTGGGGCCATTAATTAATGGGTAAATTATGCAGACACCATTCAAATTGGTTTAAAATATGAATTACTCTTATAATTTTGAAAATTATATTTCACTTTTGACATTTTTAATTTCATAATAAATGATCATTTTTATTAATAAATTATCATATCAATTAACAATTTTTAATGATATGAGAAATATATTTTAATTAATAATTCAGATAATTTTATTATCGTATAATATAATAGTCATGAATTTTATTTTTTTACATAATTTTATTGAATAAAAAAATTCTAACGATGAATACTTATATTTTTTCAAGCCGTAAAAAATAATTTATATTTTAAACAAATTTTAACAAATATATTTATAATTTAACCTTAATTAATTTATGAGAAGCAGAGGCCGGAGGGATAGTGCAACAAAAATCAACCGACAATAACAGAAACCTAGGTATACCATACGTACTACATATTCAAAACAACTGACTCCGACGTTAGAAATCCACTCAAAACCATCAACTCCCTATCCACCCACCACCCACCACCACAACACCTGACTTCTTTCTCACTCTCTCTCTCTCTCTCTCTCTCACCAATTCCTATACTAGCATCAGTCTCTCTGAAAATGCCTATAAATATTGAAACAATGCTCAAACCCACTTCATGCTAAAACTTCATAAACCATTCTCTCAATTCATTTAAAAAGAAAACAAAAAAAACCCACACTTCATTCTTTCAAGTATATTTGTGTGCTTTAATTTTTGGTATTGTCTACAATGGCCAAGAATAATATTATGGCTCAGTCTCCCCTTGAAAGAACCAGCTTGATTTCACTTGACCAGAAGCTAGCCACGGCCAAGCGCTGCTCCCATGGTAATAATGCTTACTCAAACTCTTTCTTTTCTTTTTCTCATTTCTTCTTCTCTTTTTTAATGATGATCATTTTATTTGTGGATGCTAGAATAATGATATATAAATATATTGATACAAAAAATGTATACAGTATAGATCTATCATTTTAAAAATAAAAATTTATTTAAATAGATCATAATATCAAAGAGGTCACTGATAGGTTATTTTAATTATGAAAATTTTTAAAGAAACATTCACTATGCTTGTTTTCACTTTTCAAAAAATACTTTTCAGAAAATTTTACTTTTCTTATTTTTCGTGTTTTTACTGATTTTTTTAATATGTTAAGCAATTTTTAAAATTTTTAGACATACTTAGATGTATCTAAAAAGTAAAAAAATTGTGAAGAAAACTTTTTAAAAATTCACTAAATATTCAAAATATAAAAAAAAATATAAGAATTCAGTACATTTTTTTGTACTTTTATGTATTTATTAATTTTTTAAAATATTTTTTTACAAATTTTTTACTTTTTAAATACATCTAAGTAAGGTGCATCTAAAAAGTAAAAAAAAAATATTCATTAAAAACAAAAAAACACGAAAATCAAAAAATTAATTTTTTTTTTTTATGTTAATATGGTGTTCTCATTTGACCAAATGATTAGTGGGCTTTGGGTGATGTGAATCAAAATGCTAAGCATCATGAGATTCCCATGTGGCATTCAACAATTCCCAATCCACAAAAAAAAGCAATAAAATCATAATACTTATTTGGTGGTCTTATAATTATTGAATGAAGATTTGGTGTTTGATGGTCCCTATACTACTCTAATACTAAATAGCATAAAGGGTGCCCTTTTTACATGGGTGGGTATGTTTTTATCTAAAGGGATAAAGAAGAGTCCCTCTTTAGTTGTGACAATAATATTATGGATGTAAAATTTATACACATAAATTTATTTAAAAGAAATTTTATGTAATTTAAATTCAACTTATGTATATATATATATATATATATAAATTTAGGCTATAAATTATTAAATAATTTTTGTATGTAAACTTTGCATCTGAATCTATATATAACAATTCTCTTATTTACAAGGGTCCATATTCATTAAAAAGAAGAAGAAATTTTTATCAAAAAAGTAATAATAAATGAAAGTAGTACTTATACTGCCAAAAAGAAGAAGAAATTTTTATCAAAAAAATAATAATAAATAAAAGTAGTACTTTTGAGCAATCCGATGGTCAAGATTCATGATTGACAAGCCATTATGAAATCAGATTTGGTCACATGACATCGAATGGTGCTTAGACACTAATTATATTGTGCTTTAATTAATGTTCATCAACCTCTTTCTTTGAATTCATCCTAATAAAAAATTTAATATCTAACTCTTTTTTCTTCCTCTTTTTTATTTTATTTTATTTACTTTATTTTATTTTTAAATTGCATCTATCTGCAGAGGGTGTTGTTGCAGGAGCCAAGGCAGCTGTAGTTGCCACGGTTGCAACTGCTATTCCAACTGTAAGTCTTCCCTTACATTTTACGACCTCTCACAAAATTTCCAAACACAAATCAACAATATTAGGAACCCAGGTATTTACCAAGAAAAATACTCGTAAATAGTATTGATTGGTTGAGATGTATTTCAAGAGTGGTTCTTATTATACAAAACTGAATTTACACCATCCAACAAGTTTTTGGATTGTTTTTTTTTTGGGTCCATAGCTTTTCTGAACACACATAGTAAATTTCATTTACATAAACATGGAACAAACACATTGCCAATTTTCCAAATTAACCCTTGTCGAGTTTTTCCAAACCCACCACCATAGATGTCACACTAAGTTCTAGAGCTTAAACATTAATGTAATAATACTCATATGTTTGATTCTTCATCCCTTTCATGCTGTAACATTTCTACTGACATAGTGTTACTTATGAACCATGCAGTTGGCAAGCGTGAGGATGCTGCCTTGGGCAAGAGCCCATCTCAATCACACTGCTCAAGCTCTCATAATCTCAACAGGTAATTTTTATTAATTACCACTATCACATACCCATGCTTTATTATTATTATTACTACTACTACTAATGGCAATATCGGCATTTTCTACTTTTTAATGCAAAATTACCAATTTACCCTTTGTTTTTTAATTTGTTTTTAATAAAAAAAATTGTCCTTTTGGATTTGTATTGGATTTTTCGTGGATAATTTGATTTCTTTTTTTACCACTTTTCGAGATCTGTCAAATGACAACGTGATTTTTTTAGTTTATTGAGTTGCAGTAAAAGAAAGCTTACAATTTACAAACAAACAAAAAAACTATATAGAAAATCAATTTAGCATTACGTGGCAAATCATGGTGTCATCACTCACTCGTAAAGAAAAAAGGCTCATTCAGTTGGAATTTTCAAAAATGTCACTCACATATCATTCTAATCAAAGTATATAGAAAATTAATTTAGAATAATGTGGCTAATCTTGACCTTATCAATTTGAAGCAGAGAGCTCATTTGGTTTGAGTTTTTAAAACTGTCACATGCAAATCATTCTAATCATAAATTTTGTATAAAAATTATTTAAGAATAAAGTTTTGTTGGGGTGGTTAATGAGAAATGTATTTGCAATGGGCAGTGGCTGGAGCAGCATATTTTATAGTAGCTGACAAGACAGTTCTGGCATCGGCACGGCGAAACTCCTTCAAACATCCCTCACATTCTGGCTTTGAGGCATGAAATTCTATGAGCTAGCTTAAACTAGTCCCATCTCAACCCTGTAGTTCTTTTATTATGAAACTCTCATGCTCTGAATTAGCGTGTAATGTAATATAAATAACTCTATGGAATTCAATTCCATAGTTTATCTCAGCTTTTGTGCTTATGGATATCATATTATGATGTTTGGTTGCAATTTACTTGATTTACATCCTTTGTTTTGCGTGGGTACACACTATGGTAGTGTTTGGTTCACTAGAATGGAATGATTATTTCATTAAAATGTCCATTCTCATGTTTGATTGACTAACAAAATCAATGAAAAATACATTGTAAATAGAACATTCTAGTAATGGGATGATCATTTTGTAAGGGAGCTTAAAGAATGACTATTCTATTCCATTCCATCGCATCCCATCTCATTCCAATGAACTAAAGAACTAAATATAGCATATTGAGTGTTTGAAGTAATCAAAGGGGTATTGTAGTAGTTAGATACGGGTAATTACATAAAAGGCAATTTTGAAAAGAACAAAATCTGTGACAAAGTGTTCATATCAAATATACTGTAAATTTTATATAATAATATATCTATATATATATTGTATGGTTTTTTTTATAGGCTCAATTGTTACTGCAATCGTGACTCTATTCATCTATGGGTTTGAGTCACAACCACCACAAAGGAAATTGGAAATTAAAAAAAAGAAAAAAGAAAAAGGGTGAAATAGAAGCTACTCTGCTTGCCTTCGCGGTACAAGCTTCCAAAGCATAAATATGGATAAAATACAACAGTGATCATCTGGGTTAAGGGCTCAATGTCTAAATGTGATTGTTCAAGTTTGGGATATGGAGTTGGTTAGTTTAGAGTAGTGGTGACTAATAATTAGTTATTAAAATGGCCCTGTTAATTTGATTGTGATGCGGCGACATGCGGTCAATAACTCTATCCTGTCAAAAGAAAGAAAGAATATTACACTGGTCCACAATCATTGAGGGACTGCAAAAATATCATACTGGAACTTCAATCCTATTATTCACTTGTTTGGATTCTAAGACCATAGCTAACAGAGTTGCTCATTTGTAGGCATAATTGCAAATTATTTTTCTGTCTTTCTGGATGCTTCACTAATCTTGAAGTTGTTCTAAATATGTTGCTTTGTGCTCTGAGAGAGAGAGGTTGTGAAGAAAAGTAAGAGAGAAAAACAATCTACTTTGATTTTGTTTTGGTTCTTGTTTCCTCTACCCATGGGACTGCACTAAAAAAGGTAAGAATACAGTTATCAAAATATTTCCTATCTTCCCTTGCAACTATACTGATTCTTTGGAATTGCAGAATCCTAACACGAGATCCGTTGGAAATGAAATTGGAGAAAAATAAAGGAATTGAAGATCAATCATACAAAAATACAAGAGGTTTATTGGGTGTTGTTTCACTATGTAAACGAATGAACCAGTTACAAGATACGACGGAGTTGACCTATGGCTATACTATATTTAGCAAAGGCATATGTTACATATAAGAGAAAAATACCAAAGTATCCTTACATAAGTTCGATCTATAAGATACATTGCTTGGTATACAGTATTATCAAGCTTCACACTTACCAACGTTGATTACTAGATCAGCATCGGGAAAAATAAGGTAATCACAGAGAAGATTTCCCTCATCTTTACTGTTCAGATAAACTCTAGATAGGGTGAAGATTTTGCAAAAAAATAAAAATAAAATGATTACATGAGAGAATAACCAAACTGAACTATGCCTTATGTTCCAATCTAGGCTGGGTACATGAATGCTTGGTCATTATGCTCTTTCGAGAGCTATATGCTCAGTATTGGCGCATAAGACAATCAAGTAGTTAAAATGATAAAAAGGGCACCTGGGATGGGCAAACAGAACATACCACTGTTAAACTCAAGCATGATTAAAATTCCTATCCTCTAGTTGAGAATACACTAACTCACATAGCATAAAGAGAATATTCAAAAGCAATGGCTATTTTTTCGATCACCTTTGGGATGTGGATTCTCTGGAAGTATTATTGAGGATAATTGGCCCCTTTTTGAGGGGGAGTCCACAAATATAGAATAAAGAGCTGCGGGTGGCTTTTGTCTAAGGTTTTTAAAATTTGGAATATTTATTTTGTCCGGTAAAAGCAATTGGTGATTAGGATTCGTCCTTATCAAATCCGAGGTCAGCATGCAAGCATCTGTGCATGCGTCGAATTGCCTATGCCATGTAAGCAAATGTAAGCCAAAACAAACATACCATTGTCAAAGGGCCTTCTAACAAAAACTGATGTGTTTGATATCCTCCTGTGCCCACAATGGAGGTAGGTATATTGTAATGCTTGTCAATTTGTTAATTAGCAGTGCACCAAACTTCAGCAGTCAATTTCTCAGCATGGTCTAATCTGAACGATAAGTTAACCACTTTCTATATATTGTTAAATTGAAGATACTAATGTATTTTCCCTTCCCATATATGATCATTTTTCACTACAGAATCATTTATGTCTAAGAAATAGGTTATCATTTGCTTTTGCCTTCACCCTTCCGATGACTGTTGTTATGTGTAATGAACCATTTCTTTGTTGATCAAGGATTGGTAAAGAATCATAACAGAGGGCATTAAAACCACACATACATTTGTGCAGAAATATGTGAAAGACAAAAAGAGTATTATTGTGAGCATCAAGTTGAACCGAGTGAAAGCATTATCTAACCCTTATAAATTAACTTTGGCAACTTGACGCCCTGTTGCCAAGGCATTTTAGTTCAAGGACAGTCCAATTTAAATCAATGCCATTTTCATTAGCTCTCTGGCATGTCCTTCTACTCTAAAATAAATAAATAAAAAATTGTCAAATGCTTAATTATATCACCAAAAAGTAAGTATACTAGCTAGCAGTGATCCACTGTCTTCTGTAGAAGAGATGTGAAGTTTACTGCACTAATTCCTTCAACTTATGTATTCTTCTCCATAAAACAGATTTTACAAATTTTTAGCATGACAACTTGATGCATGTAATGGTTAAAGACGCTTATTTTTTTGTGTTTTAATTTTTTTTAAAGATGAGTAGAGAGAATAAACTTAGCATGCTGATGCAAAAGTTAGAGATTTCCAGTTTCATTGTTTCATATCTTATTACCCCCTGATACACAAGTATCAAATTAATTGAATTTAACCTAACAGAATTGAAAAGGATTGTGGATCTTTGACAGCCACTGTATCAAGCAATACCCTCATTTTAGAATCGGAATACCACATGCTATAATCCCACCCGACTAGTAATTATCTAATACATCACCTTTCGTAAACAAAATTAAAAAAAAAAAATATTATGCGTTTACAGATTAATATTATTTATCTTGATCCTTAGGCCAAAAAGAGAACAACTTTGCAATTTTAAGATAGTTCATCAGATAGCAATTTAATAAATTGTTGTGGGAAAAAGTTCTTGGAACATTCCTTTTTAAATGCTTTGCTAGCCATACCTGGTTGCGTTTATTAGAGGACTTAAAGGTTTGACATGTGGAATGGCATCAAATTGAAAGATGCCCTCTGACCATATAATATTCTACTTAGCTTCAATCAATTTAATGTAACTATGCAAGCCTTTTAAGGTGAAAATTAAGAAAAAGCATTCATATATGCGGGGGTGAGGAGACCGCAAAGAATACCGATGGATATGAATCTTCAAATGACACTTTTGAATTATCGCTGGAAAGAAATTGAAACAAAAAAGAATAGAATTTCACAATGGACGTGCATTAAAAGGAATCGATTCCTGAATGGAGAACTTCTCTTGTTTCTCTAGCTTTAAACCTGAACCATGTGGACCGGAACTACATCAGCCTACATGGGAGATGAAAATTCCATGTAGCCAACTTTCAAATGACACCTTCCCCTCATAATGCCTTGAATAGAAACCAATAGAGGGAAGAGAATAATATTTAAAATTTTTATCCTTGAAATAATTCATGTGGAATCATATAAAGAAGGGTATTATTGGATTTTTTTTTTGGTATGGAATATATGTGTTTGTATCCATGTACTTACTAGTTTATAACCTTCCAGTAATTCCCCAAACACACCAGCCTAAACAATAAGACAGAGAAGAAATTGGGAGCTATTTTATCCTAATCTTTCATAATTTTCTACTTTTGGAAATCCCATCTTAAGAAAGCAATCCAAAGCTCGTATAGCCTGCGAAAGGAACATTTTTAGGGCCCCATCACGAGGCTCAACAAGTATATAAACCATCTCAACCCATCCATCAATATCACCAATTCCATTGGCTATTTCCTCTGCTACTACTTAGTACTACTTATTACTTCATTTGCTCGTCTTCTTAAGGTGAGCAACCGTCCTTGGTTCTTCTCTTTTCACCAGTTTGTAAGTCCTACCATCTTGATTGAACCCTAGTGTTGGAAAATCAAGCCTTGTATTCAAGCAGTTGTTGTCAAGGGTCATGAAAAGTACTGTTAGCTAGTGTGGGTAGAAATGCCTATTTCCAAATCATGAAGTGTTTGTTGAGGTTCAACAACGCAATTTTAGCACATCCCCTTTATCATAAAATAGGTTTTCCCTTAATTCTTCTTTCTTTTTAAGTAACACTCAATTTAGTCCCCGTTAACAGGGTCTAGGAGGGATAGGCTGGGTACGGATCAAGTCTTTGACCATTCTCTTAATTCTGTATCAATATTAAATAGAGGCAAGAAAAGGCACTTTCGTTCTATTGCTTACTAACTTATTACCTGTGCTAGATATTTATATTTGTTTTAGATTTTTTTTAATATGTAAAGTATGTTTTTAAAGATTTTTTTATAAAAATAATTTAATAATCTTATCACTAACCATAGTGTATGGGAGAAGTTGAAAATATCTATAATTATTTGTATGAGAGGATTTTAAATGTTGATCAAGGGATTTTGACTAAATCAATAGATGCACGCATGTGGAAAGACATGTGGATTGAAAAAAAATTAATAAATGCTGATAAGAGGATTTTGACCAAATCAATAAATGTTGAGTATTTTTTTTTTTTTAAATAAAAAATTTACAAAATTCATATTGGAATATTAGCCTTGGGGTTAAAAAACCCCCAATTTGCTTAATATATAGTATAGATTTACACCAAATGTAAGATTATATCTTAGCTTTAAATGTGTAAGATCTATTTCTTACAG